CCAGTCAGCCCCTCTGCTCCCCACCCCTCCCAGTCAGCCCCTCTGCCTTATTTGGCCATGAAATTGACATGCTCTGCAATTTGTTATTTCCTGGATTGTTGTCTGTTTCTCCCTGTATAATAGGTTGGATTACTGCAGTAATCTCCAGATTGGGCAGGGATGTTATCTGCCTTGGTCACCACTTTGCCCCCCTCAGTGCCCAGCACTTAGTTGGTGGGCAATAAATATGTACAGACTGACTCCGTCTGTGTGTCTGGTTCTCTGGACTCTGCCCCTCTTAACAGCATTGGGACATGAAGGTGTGGTGCTCCCGATGCCTCACTCTTAGCTACTGTTTTCTCTGCAGATCCTTCGCCTACCTGGGGGAGACATATGGTCCAAACAACGCAGGTGCCTTTTTCATCCTGAAGCAGGGAGGCGCAGTCAAGTATGACCGCTAAGGTGTTATAATGGGCTGGGGGTCGGTGGTGGGGTATCTGCCTAACGTCCAGGCTTTGCAGTCACACAGGCTTCACTGTGTCCCCTGGTCTCTGCTGCCTCCTGGCTTTGTGGCTTTGGACTTGTTCCTGAGCTTCAGTTTTGTCATGTGCAAAATGGGATGGTGATCATTTCTTTTTTTTTTTTTTTTGAGACGGAGTTTCGCTCTTATTACCCAGGCTGGAGTGCAATGGCGCGGTCTTGGCTCACCGCAACCTCCGCCTCCTGGGTTCAAGCAATTCTCCTGCCTCAGCCTCCTGAGTAGCCAGGACTACAGGCACGTGCCACCATGCCCAGCTAATTTTTTTTTTGTATTTTTAGTAGAGATGGGGTTTCACCATGTTGACCAGGATGGTCTCGATCTCTTTGACCTCATGATCCACCCGCCTCGGCCTCCCGAAGTGCTGGGATTACAGGCGTGAGCCACCACGCCCGGCCTGATGGTGATCATTTCTAACCTATGGGTTTGCTATGAAGACTGGATGGCACTGGGACAGTGGCTTATGTCTGTAATCCTAGCACTTTGGGAGGCCGAGACAGGAAGGTCACTTGAGCCCAGAAGTTTGAGACCAGCCTCAGCAACTTTGTGAGACCCTGTCTCAAAATAAATAAATAAATATATATATATATATATATTTATTTTATATATATATATTTATATTATATATATTTTATATATATATAATATATATTATATATATGTTATATATTTATATAATATATATATATTTTATACATATATTTATATATTTATATATATATATTATATATATATAGGTATATTTAGATGGAGTTTCACTCTTGTTGCCTAGGCTGGTATGCAATGGTGCAGTCTCAGCTCACTGCAACCTTCTACCTCCTGAGTTCAAGCAATTTTACTGCCTCAGCTTCCTCAGTAGCTGGGATTACAGGGATGCACCACCACACCTGGCTAATTTTGTATTTTTAGTAGAGACAGGGTTTCTCCATGTTGGTCAGGCCAGTCTCAAATCCTTGACCTCAGGTGATACGCCCACCTCAACCTCCCAAAATGTTGGGATTACAGGCATGAGCCACTGCGCCCAGCCTGGCAAAATTTTTTATATTAGCCAGGTATGCATACTAGCATGACGACTTATGTTGGAGTGAAGAAAAAAAAATCAGGCAGATGTGGTGGCACATGCCTGTGGTTCCAGCTACTCAGGAGGCCAAGGCAGGAGGATTGCTTGATCCCAGGAGGCTACATTGAGCTTTAATCGCACCACTGACCTCTAACCTGGGCAACAGAGTGAGACCTCGTCTCAAAAAATAATAATAGGCTGGGCACAGCGGCTCACACCTGTAATCCCAGCACTTTGGGAGGCCAAGGCTGGTGGATCACCTGGGGTCAGGAGTTCGAGACCCACCTGGCCAACGTGGTGAAACCCCGTCTCTACTAAAAATACAAAATTAGCTTAGCATGGTGGCACATGCCTGTAATCCCAGCTACTTGGGAGGCTGAGGTAGGAGAAGCCCTTAGAACCTGGGAGGCGGAGACTGCAGTGAGCTGAGATCATGCCACTACCCTCTAGCTTGGTCAACAGAGCAAGACTCTGCCTCAAAAGAAAAAAAATAATAATGGCTGGGTGTGGTGGCTTTAGGAGGCCAAGGCAGGTGGAGCACTTGAGCCCAGTAGTTCAAGACCAGCCTGGCAACATAGTGAAACCCCATCTCTACCAAAAATATGAAATTACCTAGGCATGGTGGTGCATGCCTGTAGTCCTAACTACCCAGTGAGACCCTGTCAGAGGGGGAGATTGAGTGTGATTTTGCAATATAAGAGGCCTAGCACTGCATATGTGCTGAAAAAAAAATTTTGAGACAGAATATCACTCTGTCACCCAGGCTGGAGTGTAATGGCACGATCTCAGCTCGCTGCAACCTCCACCTCCTGGGTTCAAGCGATTCTCCTGCCTCAGCCTCCCAAATACCTGGGATTACAGGTGCACACCACCACACCCAGCTAATTTTTTGTATTTTTGGTAGAGACAGGGTTTCACCATGTTGGCCAGCTGGTCTCCAACTCCTGACCTCAAGTGATCCACTCACCTTGGCCTCCCAAAGCGCTGGGATTACAAGCATGAGCCACCACAGCCAGATGGAGTGTTTTTCTAAGATGGAGTCACTTATGTCAAGGGTGATCTATACATATTATATAGGGCTGGGGCAGGTGGGGGTGCCCTGCTGACACTACCTCTCCCCCCCTTTCCAGGTTTCGAGACAAGGAGTGGATCAGGCCAGATAAGTATGGCCATTTCCCTCAGGAATTCTGGAATTTCTCAGAGGTGCCTGTGGAAGCTGTGGATGCCAGTGACTGTGCCATCAACTACGAGGGCCTGGAAAACCTCTGTGAGTGGGATGGGGTGGAGATGGGACAGGCCTCTACATTTTCCCTTTGGTGATGGGCTCCAGAAAGGCCCCTGGTGCCATCCCACCCTCTTCCCACCGCAGACCTCCTGAAGGAGCTCCAGTCCTTGTCGCTGCAGCGCTGCCCCCACGTGGACGACTGGTGTCTCAGCCGCCTCTACCCACTGGCCGACTCGTTGCAGGAGCTCTCGCTGGCCGGTTGCCCCCGCATCTCCGAACGTGGCCTTGGCTGCCTCTACCACCTCCAGTGAGATCTCAGCTTAGCCTGGGCCCTGTACCCAGGCATCTCTCCCACCCAACACTGATGCAGGAGAGGAAGTGGGGAGGGGCAATGTTGGGCAGTTCTCATATCCCCCTGCCTCCACCACAAACCTAGAGTGTTCGTGGTAGATGGGCAGTCACAGTGAGTCTCTGGAAGAATTAAATGACTCCTGGTTTTTTTCTTTTTGTTTTAATGAAAACTCCATGATATCAGTACAATGGCAGAACAGCAGAAGCTAGAATTGCATATTGGCAACTAACACAGTGGGTTTCAGGTGCCTGGACAGCTATAAAGATTTTATTTTAGGGCCGGGTGCAGTGGCTCACGCCTGTAATCCCAGCACTTTGGAAGGCGGAGGCAGGTGGATCACAAGGTCAGTTCAAAACCAGTCTAGCCAAGATGGTGAAACCCTGCCTCTTCTAAAACTACAAAAATTAGCTGGGCATGGTGGCAGGTGCCTGTAATCCCAGCTACTCGGGAGGCTGAGGCAGAGAACTGCTTGAACCTGGGAGGCGGAGGTTGCAGTGAGCAGAAATCATGCCACTGCATTCCATCCCAGGTGACAGAGTAAGCTTCTGTCTCCAAAAAAAAAAAAAAAAAAAAAAAAAAAAGTATTTTAGGAAGCTAGCGTTGAAATTGGGGCCAGTACCTCCCTATACACATGCACTGTCCTTACACTGGCTTCCTGTCCTTCTCGCCCGCTTTCAGGAACCTCCGCTGGCTGGACATCTCCGACCTCCCTTCCGTGTCCAACCCAGGCCTCACTCAGATCTTGGTGGAGGAGATGCTGCCCAACTGCAACGTTGTGGGGCTCAACTTGGCTGAGGGCCTGAAGTTGGGGCCAGAGGAGCAGCCTCGGGACACAGACAGGCCCGTCCCTGCCTAGCCTTCAGCCCTGTCCCCATTCAAGCGGCTTTTCAGCGGACTGCATGGAATGTCTGGTAGCTCACCACGCTTCTGGCTTCTGTTTGTCTTCACTCAACATGGGGGTTGGGGAGTGGCGCTGGCCGATCACAGGGAAAGAGAGTGTGAGGTCACAGTATTTATTCCTGGCTGCCCTTGGCTGACGGTCATAGATCCTGTGCTCCTGTCACCCTGTGAGGCAGCCCTTTCCATGTCCCTCTTCTTCCCCTGCGTCTTTAGGCCTGGGGACATCAAGGCTCAGGCTGTCGGCAGCTGCAGGGAGCCACATTCACCTTGTCGGGAGACTCTTCTCAAATTGTCCTCATGTGAGTGTGCTGCCATTTCTTCCAGAGACCCTGACTGATACAGGGGCTGCTGCTAACACTTTACAGGGATGGTTCTCCCTGGTGGGGGGTGGGGGAGACGCTCTACTCACAGCAGGACGTGCAGCATCCTTGGCCCCACTCACTAAAGGCCAGCATAGCCCAGGCCCCATGGTATTGCTGGTTGTGGATTTACTGACCTTCAGTTCCACATTCAGCTTTTTTGGTCTGTTTTTTGAAAGCAGGGATCTGGGCCTTTGCAGGATTTTCCCTTTGCCAGTAGCATAAGCTTTGTCAGTAGAGGGCGCCTAACAGGCATTACAGGAGGAAAGGTGCTTCCTTCCTGGTCCTGTTGGTTGTGTGCAGTGCACATGGCTTCCCCAGCACCCAGTTCCTCAGGTGTCAGGAGGTCAGCAGCTGCCCCCGGCACCCTCCATCTCCCAGTAGTTGCGTAGGAGACACTGTGCCTCCACTGAGGCAGCTCTCTGGGAATAACTTTCCCCAGCACCCCAGATGGATTTCCAGTCAATTCAGAAGCACTTTATCAGTGAAGCCCTCATTCCAGTTCACTGTTAAAGCCAGTAATTCTTGGCTGGGCGCGGTGGCTTACGCCTGTAATCCCAGCACTTTGGGAGGCCAAGGCGGGTGGATCACGAGGTCAAGAGATCAAGACCATCCTGGTCAACATGGTGAAACCCCGTCTCTACTAAAACTACAAAAAATTAGCTGGGCATGGTGGCGTGTGCCTGTAATCCTAGCTACTCAGGAGCCTGAGGCAGGAGAATTGCCTGAACCCAGGAGGCGGAGGTTGCAGTGAGCCGAGATCGCACCATTGCACTCCAGTCTGGGTAACAAGAGCGAAACTCCGTCTCAAAA